CTCTGTGAGTTCATGTCTCCATTTCATGCTGTAGATTCTTCCCTCGGCAACCTTGGGGCATAGTTCAACCGCTTGGGTAGCCTGCTGCCTGGACTGTGTGAGGCCATTAGTAGAAATAGACGTTCAAATCCAGGCATTTAGAATGTAATCCTGCTAAATAATTTGTTTCCTGTTTTATAGTGTTTGCCTATGAGAGGGGGTGGAAAAATCCAGAAATGTTTTCCAGTGTATTTCCTTCCTTCCACCCCCAATCCTGCTAAAGATACAGCATGCAGATCCCATGGGGTGGTGGGGCTGTTCTCGAGTGCTAAATTCTTATGTGCCCAATGCCCTTCCTGGTGGAATGGCCTCATGTACTTTTCATCACTACAGTGCTAGCCAATACTGGGCCCGGAGGAAGTGCCAAATAAATGTGTGGATTACTTGCTGATTTTGTACCCTGGTACTGAACTCTGCAGGGGATGTGGCCAAGATGTTATGGTCTACCTGGGAAGACCTCCACTTCCTTTTTCTCTCCACCTTTGCACATTTTATCTGCTGAAATCCAGCTCCATCCTTACCACTGAGCGTGTTCTTTTGGTGGTTGCCAAAGACTTTCATTCCGCCCAATGAAGTGTATGTGAGTGCGTGTATGTGGTCACCAATCTCTCATAAAGGCATCTGACCTTTTGAACATCAACTTCTTGAGTATTTGTCCTTGATAATTCCTTTTCTCAGTTTCTTTACTTTCCTGATTTGTCCTTGATAATTCCTTTTCCTAGTTCCTTTACTTTCCTGATTTGTTTTCTCTTCCCTCTCTCTACCTCTTCTTTTTCTTCTGGCCCCTAGTTTGGCTCCAGGTTTTTTCCTCCGTCTTCTCATGTTTGTTGCTTTATCTTGTTGACTTCCTCCCTCCCTTCAGCCTCCACTCTTACCTCGACATAAATGACATCCCACACAAAAATCTGGTGCTGTTTTCATCTCCTCTGTGCCGGGCTTGGGTTTCCAGCTGCCCACAGGACATCCCCACTTACACGGCCCACGTTTGATCACAAATCCAATACCTCCAGGAGTGAATTTATTATTTTGCCTACCCCACTCTCCTTTCTCTTCCCAACGGTTCCATTTCAGGCAGTTAAAACCCCATTCTTTTCAACAGAAACACGAACCAAGTGGTCATTATGGATATCCCCCTCTCTTCCACCTCTCACATGACATCTGTCATCAATTTCCCCCAAGAAAACATTCCTTAAATTTATTTCCATGCCACTGCCAACAGCCAGCCCAGCCCCAGCCCTTGCCCAGAATCCCAGTAACAGCCTCTCAGCCTCCCCAACCCCTGTTCTCTTCACTGGTGTTCCAGCTTAGGTGGGCCGATCAGTCCCCATTCCAAAGCTGAGGGTGGTTCCGGCTGCCTGCTGAGTAACACATGCACCCTTCTTGCTGTTCTCACCCATCTGCCTGTGACTCCTAACCCTTCCCTCTGTCTTCTCCATAATTAATGGACCGAATCTCCAAATCCTTATTGAGTGTCTTCTACCCACCATGCGTGGGGCTATGGCCAGAAGAGAGCAGACCAGGCCCCTCCCAGCCCTCACGGGGCTGGAGTTTCCTGAGCAAGTGAGCTCATTGCTTCTCAGCCCCCCTTGCTGTCTGTCCATCCCTTTCTACCACCACCGTTAAAAGTCCAGCTTGTCTCCCCTCCTCCTCAAAGCTGCCCTCAGCCTCTTCAGCCCACAGTGGTGAACCTCTGTGCAGGGTTCCTGTTCTTGTTGCAAGCACCCTTTAGCTATTCTCCGATTTTTTCATGTGTGTTAGTTTTAATTCCTGCCTGGATTGTCATATCCTTGAGGTCCACCGGTTTTTATTTGCAGTGCTAACTATTCCCAATGTTGTGTGCGTGTTGTCATTATTGAAGTTGTATTCATACTAGTCACTAATCAGCAGTAATGTGTAATGAAGATATAATTAGGATAATACAACGAAGTAGGCACGTCTAGGAGTGCTTTATATGCATTTTCTTATCTAATGAGTATCCAGTGCATACTTAATTGACTTAAGCAATTGACTCAATATTCAGCAGCTGGGTCTCAGGGCAGTCTCTCTGTTGAGACTCAGTTTGCTCCTCAGCAGCACTGGGAACAGGATATCTGCTCTCCAAGGTCCCAACCCTTGGTTCCATTCAATTTCAGTCCACTCATTTCTTGGGAATCTTCCTGTGTACTCTGCCCAGGTCTGTGGCTTGGAGAACATAGAGCAAATAGGGCACAATCACTGCCCTCAGAGTTTTCACCATCCGTCGTAATGACAGGCAGCCAGGGGCGCCTGTGGGGCAGAGAACAGGAAGCCAATTTCATCCCCGGGAGAAAGCAGGGAGGTTCACTCCTGACAGTTGATTCTAATTAGAAGGTTCCCGAAGGAGGAGAGGTTTCCCCTCCGTTGAAAGGAGGCAGCCGGCTGAGTGGGAGCACAGAGGCGCCTCTTGGCAGAGCCGGCGGGCAGAGCAGCCCTTCAGCAGCAAACCAGAACAGGCTGTGTTTCAGTCCGACCGACGAGACATGTTGCTGCGTGCTAGACTTAACGCGGTGACTGTGCTGATGGTGCTGCTCCACAGGACGGGGGAATCTCGACCACATCCGATAAGTGTGTGGGTCTCCAAGGGGTGGAACTTTGGGACATTTGAGATGCATCCTCCGATGAAAACCATTCATTCTGGCATCTGCACACGCTGAGGCTCGGAGGAGCATCTGTCCCCGAATGAGACGTCTGGCTGGATTCCTGACACAACTCATTACAGTGACAATCAGCGAATGCCAGTGTCTCATGGCAAGAAATACTTATTTATGTCTCTCCTCATTTCAAAATGGAGCCGAGGGGGTTTGCAAATGTAGTCACAGGCGACAAGATAAAAATACGAGAGGCACAGCTCGAGAAGATAGAAGCAGAAATAACAGGGTGAGTCAAAAGAGAAGCGTGAGTGCCCAAAGAAGGCTCTGAATACTTTTACCTGGGGTGAACCTCGCACTGGAGCTCAGCATCTCGGCAACAAATGGATGGTTTTCCCAAAGGAAAGTGGCGGCGTTTTTTCACTTACTTTTTCATAATACACTTCTTACTTTAGAACGATTCCAACTCACAGAATTCTCGTGCAGAGACAGTCCAGAGAACTCCTGCATGCCCTATGTCCAGCTCTCCACTACTGCATTAGACGGGGCGCCTATGACCCTACCCATGAACCAGTTTCCGTACAATATCATTGGGTAAAGTTCCTAGTTCGCTCAGATTTTTCTTTTTACCTAATGTCCCTTTTCTTTTAAAATTGTTTTTCAAGCTTTCCATGATGCTTGACATACAATATTATATTAGTTTTAGGTGTACAACAGAGTGATTAAACGTTTGTATAACTTAGGAAGTGGCCTCCCGATACGTCCCATCTGACACCATACATAGTTACTCAGCATTACAGATTACATGTCCTGGGCTGTTCGTCACATCCCTGTTTCTGTAACTGGCGATCACTCCTTGATCCCCTCACCTTTGGCACCCACCCTCCAACCCCCCTCCCATCCAGCAACCAGCAATTTGTTCTCTGTATCCATCAGTTTATTTCTGTTTTGTTTTTGTTTATTTGGTTTTTTAGATTCTGCATATAAGTGAAATCATATGGTGTTTGTCTTTCTCTGTCTTATTTACTTCACTTATGCAATACCCTCTAGGTCCATCCATGGTGTCACAAATGGAAAAAAATCTCATTCTTTTTTATAGCCAAGTAATAGTCCATTGTGTATATGCACCGCTTCTTCTTTACCCATTTATTTATCAACGGACACTCGGTTTGCTTCCACATCTTGGCTATTGTACATAATGCTGCCCTGAGCGCAGGGATGCATGTAGCATTTCAGATCAGTGTTTTGGAGTTCTTTGGATACAATACCCAGAAGAGGTCTCGTCATGGCTTCTCCTTTATGTCCTTAGTCACAGGACTTCTGCTCAGCTAGCCTTCAGGTGGTTCTCAACGACAGTGGTTCCGTAATTTAGTTGTAATTTTGATGTGGTCATGGGCCGAGGTGGGCACAGAGTTTACCTACTCCTCCATCTTGACTGCAGGTCTAAAGGAACAGTTTTATTTTCATTTTGTAAGTGTAATTCTTTACTTTTGCTTTTACTTTATATTATTAAGTGTATTGGAGTAATAGGAATACCATTACACAACTTCCAGGTGAACAAGATCACAATTCGATGCCCGTGCACCCCACGTGTGCTCACCACATCCAGTCTCCTTCTCTTCTGCTACCCACAGTGGACTCCCTTGCCTCCCCCACCCCATTTCCTCTAACCACCACCACCCAGTCGTCTATGTCCATGCGTTCGGTTTGGCTTATTTTGTCAGTTCTTATTCTCCTTTCTGTTGTACGTTCCACAGGGAGTAGAATCACAGGGTCTTTGTTCTTTTCCGACCAACTTATTTCACGTAGCCTATAATCTTGAGAGAATTATGCAAAATTTTTATTTTTAATACAATGATGTTGCATCTTGAAGATTCCAAGCGTGTATTCGGAGCCTTATCCTTATGGATGGAAGAGACTTTGCGCCCTGGGTAATGCTGGGTTATTTCATTTACCTTGACTGCTGTTGCCACGAGCTCATTGAAAACAAAAGCGGAAAGCAGAACACCTGCCTGAGGCTTTTGGGGAGAGTGTCTGTGGCTGCGTCACACACCATGTGCCAGTGATCTACTCAAGGAAACCCCACTTTTGAGGTTGAAGAGAATTTCCTCTCTTTAGAAAACCTAATTGCCATTTTTTAATCTCCTTTTAGGCAAAGCTTCTCTCTCAGCCTCTCCCTCCACACACACCTACTCCCCAAACACACTTTTATTAGTCTGTGGCCTCTGAGAGTGGGGTATTCCTCCAGAGTAATACCCCCTGGGGCATTTGTAATGGAGAATAGGGGGGCAGGGAGTGATGATGGTCATGAGGCCCCAGCCCAGGTGCGTGACCCGGCTTTGCGTCTGTTGACAGCGTGAGGCAGAACGAGCGCTACAGCCAGCTGACCCTGCTCAACTCCACCGCGGCCGACACCGGCGAGTTCAGCTGCTGGGGGCAGCTCTGCACCGGCTACATCTGCAGCAAGGACGAGACCAAGACTGGCTCCACCTACATCTTTTTTACAGGTAACAGGTTGGCTGCATTAGTGGAACTCTTCCCACTTCTGCCCTTGCCCATGGTAAATGTTCCCACTGTGTGTGGACTATCAACTAATGACCCTCAGAGCACCTGCTCTTTGCCAGGCTCTGGGCTCAGTGCGTTCCATCAATTAGTCTCTCAACAACCCTTCAGGGTATGACTGTCATTTGTATATATTTTTCCCAATGGAAAAGTTGAGCTTTAGAGAAATGAAATACGTCCTTAGGGTCATTGTGCAAGTAATGACTGTATCAGGATTTGAACCCAGAACAGTCTGACTCCAGAGTTCGTGCCTACATTTGTCCAATATGATAGCCATTAAATTTAAAGGGACACTAATTAAAATTAAACAAAATTTAAAACTCAGTTTCTCAGTGGCACATAGCATGTTTCAAGGGCTCCACTGCCCCCCGTGGCTAGTGGCTGTCCTGGTGGAACCATCCACAGAGCGTCTCCACCGCCGCAGGAAGCTCTCCTGGACAGCACTGCTGTGGGTGGGCTTTCCATCCTATGCCCCTAGAACCAACAAGGATCCCCTCTCTGGAACCTCGGTAGTCACAAGATGCCTGGATGAAGTCTCCCTGTGTTTGTTCTTATGAGTATTGACAGCTGAACTTGTGGGGGCAGGATTCCCTGTCCCTGAGCCTCAGTGCGGTGTCTGAAAGGGAGCAGGTCGAAGGGAGCTCTCCTCTGACCCTGCAGCATTTGGTGTGTTTTTGGCAGTAGAGATGCACTCGGAGAAGCAGGCCTTGTAGAGGAGCTGGCCAGCCTGTTTCCTCTGCAGCTCTCTAACTCAGGTCTGGGGGATGACGTTCTCCAACAAGGCTCAGGGGTCAGCTTTCAGGAATCTGACAAATGCTACCTGCTGGCGCTGCTGCGGTCTAAGGCATTTCAGATGAAGTCAGAATGCCTTCCTAGTGTCAGGGCGGGGCTTTGAGGAGATTTGTCTACTTCCCGAATCCACCTACCTGTCAGACCTTAGTGATTTGGGCGGTGGCTCAAATGATCTTCTGCCCTTGCCATTAACCAAATCTCAGATGTAATCCCTTCCTGTCCCGATAGCTCCTCTCTGGAGAGCAGATGCCTGGGCAGAGCACGCTACAGTCCTGGAGGCCCACGGATCTCATTTCATTTCCACAACGTGCACCCCCCTCCCCTGGAAACTAAGGAGAAACTGCCTTGTTATCTCTGTTTTAGAAATAATGGTGCTGATGCTGAGACCCAGGGGGCAAGGGGGGCCTATTGGATGCTTCATGACTTATGGTGGCGGAATAAAGAGTTAAGCCCTGTTTACCTGACCCAGGATTCAGTGTTCTTACTGCCCTAATCCATTTCAAAACAAGGTGATTCCTTGGTGGGCAGACAGACAGGCACTGGCTGGGGTTGTCGGGAGGACGGGTAACCATTGTTCACAGGCAATCCCCCCGATCCTCATAGAGGAATGTGCCACACGGAGGGCCTGTGGGCCTTGCTGTCACACCACACCGGGAAGCGACGGGGACCACGGCAACTAATCCAGACCCACGAGAACCTGTGATTTTAGATGAGGACTGAGACCATGTTTCAGATTACAGAATGAAGCATTTCTGCCACAGTTAGCACTCTTGCGTCTTCCCAAAACACTGGTTTTTGAATTGAGAGTTTGGACAGTCAGAAGACCTCCATTGATCAGAATGTCCGATCAGGGTTATGGGCTCTCTCTGGTTGTGAGAGGCAGGGGTTCCTCCTCGACTTGTGGACGCCTCTTTGTGAATCAGAGGAACGTACTCCCCTTCAGTCAGAATTTATTTCAACGCTCCAGAAACCCGGATCAACAAGGGATGTGACCTAATGTGTTGTATCGTTTTCTCATTCCTCAACACAAAGCTCAGTGTCCAGTTGGATTTTCCGTGCGAGGTCCAGCAGTTGGTCTCTTCCGGCCTGGGTGGGTTTGCAAAGCCTGGATGGGCTGTTCGGAGAGCTGAGCTTTCTGCGGCTGGCTCTGGCTTCCTCAGGACATATGCTTCCCCGCCGCCCACACAGGGACGCGTCTGGCATTCGTTATGTGTGTGTGTTTCCTGGGGTTTGGCTGCCAACACCGGGAAGCTGCTTTGTGGCTGTTGTTAATTTGTGTGATTTTTGTCTTAATTTGCACAACTGCTACACATCATATTTATTCGTGTCCAGGAGGCACTCAAAGGTGTTTCTTTCCCTCTCTAATTTTTTTATTGAAGTGTAACAAAGAAAAAACACAAATGAAAACTATACAGCTTAATAATTGTCCTCAAGTCACATCTAACTCCCACCAGATCAAGGAGAACACTACTGGCCATCGGCCCTCCTCACCGCAGCGGGCCTGGGCTCCAGCTGTCTTATGTGGTAAAACCACATTAGTGAGCACTTTTATGAAGTTGTTTGTCATTTGGATTTCAGTTTATAGCCTATTGTCTCTATTTTTGTTTTTGGAAATCTAAATTTCCATGTGTTTAGTTTTCTCAAAGTAATGTTTATGAGCTACTCAAGTAGATACAAACATATTTGCAGGGGGCGTATGTCATCTATAATTTTTCAAATGAACTTTAACATACTTTTCGGTAGATGGGATGTACTGATGATGGAACGTACTGATTATACATGAATTCTCCCCCTTCACCCTCCCCAGTTTGTTAAAGCAACTGGTATGGTCTCTTCTCTCAAAGCACACAAAGAAGTAAGACCACATTTTTGTGTTCGGCAATTCTGATTGTTATCCTGCTAGCCTTGCTTGTTGGTTCAGTTTCCTCTAGTAGAAACTGAGGAAACTTTCCTTTAGCAGAAACAAAAGTTGCTGCTAAACATTACGATCATAAAATTACTTAAATGCTTTTGCCAAAAACATACGTCTAATAAATACGGTCTACTCTGAATTCTTCTCTTCAGAAATGGGAGAGGAGACATCCCAGGCCGTATGCACTTACTCTTTGTGAACACAGGACTATTAGGTGCAACAGTGACAAAGGTCCCGCGTGTCTGAGTCTGAAAGTCATGTATTCGTGAAGTGGCATGAACCACCCAGCCCGATACAAAGCCTCGCAGAAGACAGGGCCTCACTGGGCCGTGTGGTGCTCTTTCTGGGCCTCAGTCAGAGCCGGGGGAAAGGCCTCCATGCTGGTTAACCCGTACCCACGGCCAAAGCACGCTTGGCTCATGAAGACATTTGATAACATGTCCAGAACTTCTGTCCCCAATCTAAAACATCCCATGACTGTGGCACAGAGAGGCACAGGAAAGGAGAAAGCCAAGAGTAATCAGTTGTTTCAGGAATGCTGCAGCAAAAAACATGGAAAACAATTGAACAAATGTTGGGGTATAATTAAGTTAGAAGATTTTTCTTAATTACTATAATATTCTCTCATAGTACAGAAAACAAAAGATTTAATGCACCATGCCAAAAACCAACCAAAAACAAACAAATTAAAAAAAAAACAATTCCGAGTCCTTTGTACTAAGGAAAGGATGGGCGAGCCAGCTCTCGTTTCTGTAAGATAAAAAGACTGTTTTCCAGCATTTACAGAGCACACAGAGGAATTTCAGAGGAAACAGGTGGAGGGTAAGAAACAGGCTGGAGGTCTGCAGCCCAGGGGCAGCCAAGCGGAGCCCAGCACCGGCAAGGAGCAGGTTCCTCACCTGTCTCTCCTCGATCCCCTTTCCACGGTCCCCTGGGCTGGACCTCTCCGAGGAGCTCTGCTGTGCTGAGATGCACCCCCAGACGGCAGTTACTGAGCACAGGTTGTGGGGTTACTTTCTCCAGAGAAAGGGCAGCAGATGGTTTAAAACTGCTCGTAACCTAAGGCAGGCAGTCTCTTCCCCTGCTTCCTCAAGGGGGGTCATCCACGGGCCTGATTTGGACTTGAACTGAGACCTATTTTAAAGGGGATGGGAAGTAACATCCTTCTTCTAAAAGAGGAAAATTATTTTTAAAATAGCTTTTTCTGTTCATAAGGACTCAATATGCTGAGTATATTGCCAGTCCCCTCTCATCTTTGTGCCATCCATGAAGTGCTCCTTAGTGTATTTCTCCAGAGTAAATAAACCTGTATCTTTTCCTTTGCAGAGAAAGGAGAACTCTTTGTGCCTTCTCCCAGTTACTTTGATGTTGTCTACCTGTATCCGGACAGACAGGCCGTGGTTCCTTGTCGAGTGACTGTCCTGTCAGCCAAGGTCACTCTCCACAGGGAGTTTCCAGCCAAGGAAATCCCCGCCAATGGAACAGACATTGTCTATGACATGAAGCGAGGCTTTGTGTATCTGCAACCTCATTCTGACCACCAGGGAGTTGTCTACTGCAAGGCTGAGGCTGGGGGCAAGTCTCAAATCTCCGTCAAGTATCAACTCCTTTATGCAGAAGGTAAGCGTGTTTCCTACCTGTGCCTAGATTTTAGTTGCTTCCAGCTGGTAAGTGGCAGGTACGGATGTTCCCAAGTACAGATGGAAATTAGGAGGCACAGAATGCTGTTCCTAATGGCTCCTTTTTCTGCACCACCATTTCTAGAATGTTCTACGCCCTTATCTGTGACTCTGACCCAACACTCCCTGACATCCTTATCTCCAAATTCACCCATCATTCACTCTGGTACCGACTGTAGGACTGATCAGCAGTTCTCCAAAATCCCCAGCCTCTTCTTAGAATACTCTCTCAGATGAGAACACGCTCTTAGTTTTACCCCAAATCTGTCATCTCAGGGCGCGCACCCTTCTGTTTACCTCCACCCCTGCAGTTGCCCTCTCTACATTCTCCTTGCTTCCTCCCCAAGAACCTCCTCTCAGTGTTTTAGTTCCCTTCCTAGGAACCCCTGGCAGACCTTTCAGCTTCCTCCCCTAATTACAGGGGAAATGGCTGTACTCAGGAAGTTCTGGGTTATGACCCCATTCGGGACCAGCAAGTGAGGGAAAGAGAGGAGGCTTCCAAGGATGCAAGAGCGGTGGGTTGGAGGAGGCTGACTGGGAAAGGCAGAAATGTTACACCTCCGTCCAAAGAACAGAATGTGTTTCTAGCTTTGTCTCCAGCGTCACACTCATGGATTTCATTTCCCTTTCCCTGTCTCCTGCTTAATTCCAGTTCCCAGTGGCCCTCCATCCACCACCATTTTGGCGTCCTCAAACAAGGTCCAAAGTGGGGATGACATCAGTATCCTCTGCACCGTCCTCGGGGAGCCCGATGTCGAGGTGGAATTCAGGTGGATCTACCCAGGGCAGAAGGTAAGCACCTCACCCCAGACTCCGCCAGTTGTTTTCGTTCGGGTCTGTCTCCCCCTCGCCCACCTCCCAGGGGGAAGACCTTAACTTACTAAGCACACGTGTGTGGGACTATGGCAGGCGCCAGGGTTTGCTTGTTTTCTTCTAAGATAGTTCGGTATATTTACAAATGGCTTTTTAATTGAATAGATAGGAAAAAGGGTGGCTGGTTTCCATTAGGCAATTCACTCAGTGTACCCTCTTCATATGTGATTTTTCTTCATAATCTTTAAACAAGAAGGGACAGGGGCTTGAAAGGGACAGCAGGGGACCTCCTTCTGATGTCCTTCTGCGTGTCTTGCTCACAGGCTGTGCCTGTGGCGAGGAGCTCTCAGCAGACATCCACAGAGTGGGCACAGAAACACGGGCCCCGTCCCAAAGGCGCTGGGAGGCCAGAGATCATTTTAAAATAGACTTCCCATAAAAGCAACTACAGCTTATTATTTAGCCTCTGTGAGTGTTCTGCAAATATAAACAGCTTTGCTACCAACATGGAACAATCCTTTTGTTGCCAGAAGAGATTTGGCCTCTGGAGACGCACCCAGTAGTCAGTGCACTTCTGCTTAAGACCTGTGATTGGTGGGAAGTGACCCTGCCTGGAGAATAGTGTTTTCCTGCATTCTGGTACTAGGTACTTATTTTTAAATAGCTGTCGCAATTAGAAGACATTAATGATTTTCAACAGAGATTTTTTTACACTGATAATTGCTACTTTATGAGCAGAAGGGGGGATTATTTTAGTAATACCATACTATAATTGTTAAGCTAATCCAGAAAATGCTACATTCTTATCACCAAGTTTGGATGAAGCATCTCAAAAGTGACCATGGCTTTCTAGAAATAGGGAGTCATGTTATCCAGGGCATCATATGATCCATCATCCTTGGTACGACTGTTCTCCTACTGGAGCCCTGAGCACATTTCCCTCATCATATTTCTCATTTTATTCATTTTGTATTCATTTACATAGTGCTTTGGGCTCTTGTTGACTATAAATTCTGCGAATAAAAACCACTGAGTGAGAGGGTGAAAGTGGGCCATGTAAAGAGAAGGGTGGAAAATTTTATGCATGTTTTTATGACTAATCCCAGGTCTATATCCTTGGAGTTCCAAAGAATCAATCTTACATTAAGAACTCACTAAAGAAAAGGGCAGAGGGTCAAACAGCGTAATGAAATCCCAGACTCCACTTTGAAAAGCACACAGCTGCAAATGGCCACACAGTGTGAAAGCCCCCGTGAGCGTCACACCGAGTCCTCTTTGCTCAGTGTGGAAGGCAGCTGTGTATAGCAGCGCGTCCTTCTTGCCTCAGTCCCTGTGGGTGTCGTTAAACAGGATGAAAGGCCCGTGACGATCCAAGACACTTGGAGGCTGATCCACAGAGGACTCGGACACACCACGAGAATCTCCCAGAGCGTCATGGCAGTGGAAGACTTCGAGACCATCGACGCAGGCTATTATATTTGCACTGCCCAGAATCTCCGGGGACAGACTACAGTAGCGACCACTGTTGAATTCTCCTGACTGGGAAAATGAAGGACAATGAACTGATGGAGAGCCCGTTTGTGTATGCAACAGGCTCGGGCGTTCCTTCGACTAGTGCTTTGCCAGAGGCTGATGTCAAGTGCCAAACCCCAGCCCCTGCTCGTGAGTAAGACCCAGACATCCCAGCTCGCAGGAGGTCATCCGGTCTAATAATAGAAGTGTTAACTCCTCTGACAGAAAGCATGTCTTTTGATTGCTTACCTACGTATATGCGTTTCTAGTTTTTATACTAAGAAAGCATATATGTAAACAATTCATATAATCATTTCTATTAAATGGGCAAGTTTTTGTAAAAAAAAATTTAAAAACTGGGCTAAGTGCTCATTTTTTTAGGTTGGCAGAACAATTTGTTAGTAATGTTTGGGTTAATACCTAATACTGCACTTGGTCTAACCACAATCCACGAGAATCTAAAAATGTAGTAATATATAGTTCAACTCTATGAACCATGATATGAAGGTCTCCAAAAAAATGATAGAAACTTGCTTTTTATTTAAAGAAAACTGCTGTACTCAGAAGTACTAGTTTTAGATTAGTACATTCAGTAAGATATACAGCATGTGGTTTTAAAAGTTTTATTTTCACTATAAAATAGGTGTACAGAACAAGGAAAATTCAACTTCATTTAGATGTGTTTTTTAGCTTCTTCAAAAATACTCAGACCATATTTGTTCCCATTTTCTTACCTTAAAGAGTAGAAATTGTTAAAACCAGTCAAAAGTTATTTCTCCAAAACATACAGCTTTCAAAAAAAAAAAAGCTTAGCTCAGTTTAGCTCTGCAAGCCAAATTTCAGCCATGGCCAACTTGGTGGATGCACTGGAAACTCCTGGGAAATAGTTCAGGAAATACAATGTCAACTCCTGCGCTGTGAGAAGGGCTAGAACTGGATAACACGTTGGAGAGTGAAGTATACCACAGGTCGCATTGCTTATATTAAATATTCCAGCATTATTTATTTAATCAAGGTAAAAATACACTTTGCATCATTACAAACTGAGCATAATTACAGTTTTTTACACATCCGTCTATTTCGTGACGTGCCAACATTTTGCATCCTATGTGAAACATTTGGTTTGAAGAAAAAAAAACCCTTAAAGTTCTGTTTTGTTTGTTTCCTGTCTTCTCTCCAGTTGTCTCCCATTCTTTGAAGGCATGTTGTACTAGTTGTGTAAGGGTGACTTCCCCGGACACCTAAATGGTATGGAGGAGAGCAGAGAACAGCACAAGATTTACCGAGCGAGGGAATGGATGGCAAATCCAACTTTGGCTAATGACATTGAGAGCAACTGGAAAGGGCGAAGAGATATTTCGGAAGGTGGCAGTGAACCTAGTTCTCATGTATCAGAGCGAACATGGAAGGTTACATACATAATAAACTACTGAAGTTCAGACTTCAGACACAATCACTAAGAATAAAATAAAACATGCATCATGAATATTACTCTGCTACGTAGTGTACAGGTGAATGATGACTCGAACGTCCACCTCTAGTATCCCGAGTGTGTTCTTACTCTAGCGGTCCTGTGCACAGCCGTCGAACGTCAGCAATGCGGATTAGTGAGTTCTGATGCCACGATGCTGACACATGCAGGAGAGGGGGAAATGCCACAGTTCGTCCTCCCTCCTCCCTCAAAGGATTAGAATTGTGGGAGGGAACGGGTGAAGTTTGGAAAACGGAAATGCAGTCGGGAGAACAGTTCTACGATATAAGCCACGTTTTCTACTCGTCAGCTGGCCATTCACCTTCCCAGCGACAGAAGGATCCCTCAGAGGGCACACGGAACCTTAGCACTATCTTCTACTAAATGCTGCATCATTGGTTCACTCAAGGTACTCCTATTCATCAAGAAGCGCTGAATCTACCTGTCTGAGTTCTGCTAGCCAATGACTTGGTCTTTATTCCCGCTAGAGTTTCCCAAACCGTGCACCGTCAGATCCAGGCTGTGGTTTCTTTGGAGAGTGGTTTCAGCACCGTGAGGATGAGCTGGCTCTGGAAAAGCATTTTCCATTATCCTTGTCCCAGAGAGAAATGGGGACGAGGTAGAAGGTTAGCTTTTGTGGCTCCGGCTGGGGGAGGCGGGGTGGAGGGAGGAAGTGAGGATACTGGGAGAAGACAACAGTTGCTACATCAGAGGGCAGCGCAGGTCAAGGTGGACGTGAGGCAGAAGTAATCACTGCTGCCGCCCCTTCTCTCTACATAGAATCTTAGAAAAATTAGGGGTTTGCATTTGCTCATAGCCTGAGAACATGGATCATAGTAAAATGTTTAGGATCATGTGGGAAAGTTAGAAATCTACAGAAAAAATAACCCAGTTTGTTTTAACTGACATGGCTGAACACTGAACGAATGCCAGGATACTTTGGAAGGATACCCCGACTGCCCAGACACAGGACAAGTCAAAGCTCTTCCCGCCCTTCCCTTTGCCCCCGGCGTCAAAGGGCAGAGTGGAGCAGGTGGTACAGAGTCATCATTCAAGCGACTATTGCTCTTTTTTTCTATGGCTTTTTGCAGAAATGCTTACGCTGACTTATCTGACTAGTACATATCCAGAACTTTCGGTACACAACGAAGGAGGCAGCGTCAGACATGGGACACTCTGCCACACCCACTTTTATTCACACAACCCCCAGATAAAAATCACAAGACGGTGCCTGTGACGAAGGACATTATAAAGGTTATAAATCTTTAGCTGAAGAGGCCCCTGAGAGTTTTTTCCCCTTATGCGTACATGAAGAAGGCAATGTTCTTTAAGTGCGTTGTGCGTGTGTCCGTGCAGATTGGTTTCCGAAATCATTGGGGGATGACTCTCCTGGCCAGAGAGTCGCGTGTCCCGCCCCTCCCCCCCCACAGCTCCAGTCTCACAAGAAGCGGATGCCAGGGGTCGAGGCTTTCCAGTTCTGGTGCGGTAATGACACGTCAGCTCACGTGGCTCTTGATCCCACGACCACGGTCAGGGTCAGTGCTGCAAACCTGTGGCAATGCTCTCAGTCTCCCCGCTTCTGGCAGCGTCATCTGGGCGAAACGCTGGGGCTGGGGAAGGAGCCCGAATTCCTTGGGGACTGGAAGGGGATGGCGGGGGACGTGGGGGACCTGTCGGAGCTGCACAGGTCCCCGTTGTGCAGCTTCCACAGCAGCTCCTCGTTCTCCATGGACAGTCGCTTGTTGACTTTCGACTCCTTCTCCAGCCACTCCTGCAGGGTGGCCTGCTCCGTGGTGAGTTGCCTTGGAGACAAAAAAGAGCCAGAAACCACGTATATCCTCGTTTCTAAAACAAATGTACTTGCAGCAAATTTTCCTTACCATTTTAATTTGAGAGTCCAGAAAAACGACCCATTTGGAAAATTAAGAGGCAGTCCTGCAGAGCTACTGGGCACGGGCACTTGGCTTGCTGAGAAACCCATGGCGTGGGAGAACCGCAGCCCGAGAGAGAGCTGCACTTTGGGGCGATCTACAGGGGGCTCAGGGAGGCTCCCACAGGTAATCTGCATGTCTCATGACTGTCCTATGGTCGGGGCTGTTCTCTGTTGGGTCCTGTGATGCTCCTTCTCTGAAAGCATTCTCAGCAACAATAAGCCAGGGGGCGTGGGGGAAGGGCTGGACTGCTTGGGTCTCAGGGTTTAGTCCAGGCCCCCTGTGGTGAAAGCACGAAGCGCTACCATCACATTTTTCCAGCCAGGAACCGGCACCTGTTTCACCACCCTCTCCAACCCCACTTCCAAGGGGCACCTGGGTGACACTAAATGCATGAGAAAGGGAGGAGATCAGAAGAACAGGACCTTTTCTATTTACCTTGAAATTGCAATGTGCTTGTCTATCCGAGCTTTTAATTCCTCATTCTCCTGCTGAAATCGCTTCAGTTTGTCAACCAGGGCCGTGTTGTTGTCCACCTTGGTGTAAATAAGAATGCAAGTGATTATGGACTAAAAATACATGAATGAAGCCCCTCGTTTACTAAGACACCTTCCTGACACGAGTGCACTTTGGAGAGATCTAATTAAGGAAGTTTAATTGTATACTGAAATATCCATACACAGACTCACTGCAACATAGAATCTAAAGCAGAACAGAGCAGGTAGGGGCGACTGAGCTGTTCCAGGTCACACGCTGTAGAAGTCCCCCTCACCCCCCCCCCCCCCGAGAACTGGTGTGCTGCCTGACCAGGGCAACCCCTGGGCTGTGCCTCTCAGGTTCAAGGTGGGAAAACAAAAGCAGCAGCTAGACACAACCCTGCCTTTATCAAGGGCACCAGAGCTGCTTAGGGTCCATTTTGCAAAATATAAAATAAAATTAAAAATCCCCACACTGGATGAACACTCAAAAGGCCAACAATTCGAATTGCTGGCGATGTTCAACATGGCCTTGGACGTGGCCTCCTGGTTCCTCCTCAGCGTGTCCCTCTCAGTGGCCACACAAGGCCGCAGTTCCCAAAGCTCTGCAGGGCACCCGGTGAGGGGACGACAGGCCAGAAAGCCTCCCTCCTCCATGCCACTGAAGGCACTCGGCTCTCTGGCGGGCCTGCCCAGGCTAAAATGTCAGGGAAAACAAATTGATCGGCCATGAGGTTCAAGGATCACCTCCCAGAAGACATTTAATCAGTTCACGTGATGAACAGCGGCTTCCATCGTGGCTCACTTTCTAAAGGGAAGATTTTATTTGCTCAGAAGGCGACCTCACAGCTCTGTTAACTCTAAGTCCGTGTCATCTGCTGTCCTCTACGACTAACCCACTTTGATCATGGCTCTGAGTTGGGATCCTGTTATTCTTCACTGTACTGTCCAGAAAATGCTCAGGATAAGTCAGGTGAAATACCTTTCTGAAAAATGAGACTAGAGTGTGAGGAAAATTGGGCGTGGGAATTTCCAGTAACTATACAGGAATTCCAGGTAAAACATGAGTGGGGGAAACCTGCCGTCAGAGACGGGGCGGCACCTGGCTTTAAAACCGTCTCCCGTGCAGCCCTCACGGTACAGAGGAGGACCCTAGCCTGCTGATGACACGGGGCTGGCTGATGGCAGCAGAGTCGTCATGCTGAAGCTTTCACGCTGAGAAAGCCTCCATGCCTTTCAAGTGTCTCATCTCCCACAAAGACCTGGAGCATGCAAATGAAGAGGGAACCGTGGGGTTCCCTGTCATCATCCCAACCCGTTCTTCCACACCTGCGCAGTGCAGCGCTGCCTGGCATCGGGACAACTCTGCACCATGGCAAGACACAGGAACGTTTAGGAAGCAACAAAAATTACAATGTGTTGGTAATTTTACAGCGGAGCCTGTTCTTACTGCCACGTGACAGTCGGAAAAACTGTGGGGCGTGAAAGCCACGTGGGGCCACAAATCAATATTAACAGGCTCATCCGAGTCGTTGCTGACTGCCAGGCTTCACAGCGCAGAATAACCTTTGGCAGGAACAGGTGAATGTACTAGGTTGGGCCCATTAACCAACCACGGATTCCTTTCCTTGCTTAAAAGTCAGACTTGCCTGGTAATTCAGAGTGCCCATCTAGTCATATGGCAGCTTAGCCCTTACCTCCCTCAGTAGAGGCAGTAGTCTCCAGAAGAAACGCAAACCAGACACCAAAACCCAAATAAACAAAAAAAGCAAACGAAGAGTGACCTATGTTCCCTGTTGTCCGGGGCTGGGCTGGGTGTGAATGAGGCAATGACTCAAACATCAGCCGCTTAGAATTGGGAGAAGAGATGAGCAGGGCGGCGGGCAGAGCCCAGCAGAGCCTGGCAGTGGCTGGGGTCACTCCGGCTGCCTGGCCAGGCCCTCGCCCACCTGAC